ACAAACCAGCCTTTTCCTTGGAAAAATTTATTGGGGCCACTGTTCAATAAATACATGGGAAAGTGACCTCTTAAATAAAATGTCAGAATTTGTAGGTGCTCACAGGTGCTCAACAATGTGTGTAGATACCTAAGGAGGTGTAAGATTTATTAATATTACACAGCTCTAGTGTCCTTTAATGAAAAAAAGATGGATCAATGCTACTTTACTATGTGGAGGGAGAGTCATCTCATTACAGAGCTCTTCTGAGGCTTTTTTCGTCCCACTGGTTGATGGAGTTGCATATGTGGCCTTTGCCTCGTTTTCTGTTTATGAAAAAAGAAGAAAATGAAATGCTCCTCCAACAATAAAGCCATTAGTTTGGCCACATACCAAGCCTTGCACCAGCTCTTGCATCCCAGCAGCAGCAGCAGCACTCCAGCCATACGGGAGCTATTTGTAGCCAGAGCAGGACACTGCAGTTGACCCCCACGAAAGAAGAACAAGTATTTTGACTTGTTGTTTTTTTCTGTAATGGTGCCATTTATCACCGTGACACACATTCATTGACTTAGTCCGGCTTTTTTCAGTGTCGGATTTATACCTCTTTTCTGTTTTGAATATTGATGCAGCTCTTCCCTTACGTGACTGCACTCCCAAATGGTGTCTAGACGCTAGAGCAGCTCTGACTAATTAGTGGAGTCACCTCAGTCTCTCAGCTCTGGCATTTACGTACTCTTCATGGTACTGCTATAAATAGGTGCCTAAACACAAGCAGCAGCGCAAGGAGAGGTGGCAGTGAGTGTGTCCAGACCTCACCTGACATCCCTGAGGTGTGGCACAGGAGCACTGTCACTCCCTGCACTCCTGTCAGGCCAGGTGGTTGCAACCACTCACTTGGACATCACAACCCACGTGTGGGCAGCAGCAGGAGAGCAGGAGACCTGAGTTCAGTGTCTTGCGTGCTGTGAACATCACCAGTGCCAAGGCAAGGCTGAGAGAGGTTTCTGTCCTCGAGGGCTCAGCCCTTGTGTACCAACAATACAGTCACAGGGAAAAAAGGAAGAGAAAACAGCACCTGCCATCCCAGTGACATGGATACTTCTTGAGGAGGAACCTGCTTCAGAGTGATGCTTTCATGATAGGTCATGATCTGCACCACATGATTTGCACCAGATCCAAACTAAAAATTGTAAAAATTTTCGGCAACTTCACAATTTTTATCATACTTTTAAATACTGCACCCATGACTAAAAGCTGAATTGACCAGCCTTGAAGAGGGAGAACTGATTAATATCAAAGATAACTTCAGGACGTCAAAGAACTTCTACAGAGCCTTGAGAACAAAAAGTAGTGAAAAACCTAATCAATGTTGTCTATGCAACGGTCTGTGCTAATATAAAATTAAATTGCTTCAAAAATTATATTCAGATTCAATACAATACTGCTATTAAAAAAGCTTATTTGTAAGCAAAATGTGAAAGTTTTGAATTATCCAACTGAGTGTTTGAAGAGCCACTATCATAAGGAAAGCAAATTAACTTTGCTTCCTTTGTATTTTTAACTGTTACAAATTATTTTACAGGTATTAATACAAAGCATTAGAGAATAGCAGGTTTGGGATTTTTTGTTTGAGCAGATTTTCTTTGAATTTGCTGATGGGATTATTCTTAGTTTTCCAGCTAGTGGTATACTGAATATTTAAGGCTTTCCAGAACATCTGCAGGTTTTCCAGGGCTGAGTAGGACTAACTTAATTTGTGGGGTTTTTGCCCTGCAAAGAGATGGTTTTTTTTTTCTTTTTTCCTCTTCCTGGAAGGAAGATTTCTGAGTAGTATCTGTTATTTATGCAGGGAAAAGGGAACAAATCATAAATGTGGCTGTGCACAATGAGGATTTTGTGACAGAAAAAGAAATTAATAGTTCCTTTTAAATGTGGTCCTGCTACATGATATGAACAATATGAAACTGCCTGTCTCTCCCTACAGCAGTGAGATACATCTATGCACACTGCACATGTAAAACTGTGCACACTTGGAGGTACACCTGGCAAGCTCTGTTTGTTCTCTGGATAACAAAATTGCTCAGTCATGGGTTAGAAACCCTCAAGTTGCCTCCTGCTGAAGGAGCACTAAATTAACACAGTGCACATTTTTTGGTAAAACTGCTATTATCAGATTGCTCTGATTCCACATCCCTAAAAGGATTGTCTCTTTTACCCAGACAGTTCTTAACATTCATGTGCAATACTTTAGGATTAATGGTTCCCATTAGGCTAATTTGTCCTTCTCTCTAGATAAGTAGCAGTACCACTGTTTTGGTGTTTCTACTGGAAATGTTTGGGGGTTGATCTTCACTGAAAGTATTGGAGTATTTTGTGGCAGATGGAGGTCTCTGTTTTTATTTTCTGGCCTTAACTTTATGTCCAGTGCAAATGAATCCACATAAGTATCAGGTGTGGTTAACAGCTCAGGAGAGAGTGAGAGCTTGGATTGTGTGAAGTTTGGATGACTGGCTAGGGAAGGGTTGTGTGATAATGTCCAGTAATGCTCAGACCAGAGCTACCTGAACTATATTTGACTTATGAAAACTTAAATGTGCAGTGTTGTCACATCATTACTTTTTATGACCACAAAAATTCTTCAGAAATTCGCATGGAAATCAAGGTCTATGCAAAAGAGATCAGCAGAGCTATTTTTAGGCTCCTTTAAAATTTAAAATGACTGGTTTTATTCCACAGTTATCAGTCCTTAAAAACATTTAGAGAAGAGGAGTGTATTAAATGATCTCTGGACCAATGCACCTAATAACCTAAGGGAGAACTGGACATTTAAGAATGATGAAATGTTTGCAAGAAGTGTTTTCAGGATTATCAAGATGCTGATTGTGTAATCCATTGCTGAAAAGACTTATTTGTGGTCACATAAATAATGAAATTTAGATCCGAGGAGCTACTTTGTTTTAGAAATACAAGAATACTATTTGTGCAGAAGGCTTGCCCTTTCTACCCTGGCAGAGGTTTTTCATACTAGATAGATGTAATAGGCTCTATTCTGTTCTAAACCTGACTTCATCCAGGTATTAGTAGAATTAGAAAAATCCTTGGAAACTGTCAACTCTCTTTGTTCCCAATTGATCCAAAAGCTGGATTCAAGCCACTGTCTTAATTACTGACTGGGAGAGGAATCACTGTAGTGACAGAAGGTTTCCTTTCCCAGATTTTCTTCATGGTGCTGCTATTTATCTCTTTCCAAATCTTAAGACCCATTTCTTCTCAGACTGTCTCCTGGTAGGTACAGTATATATTCACCAGCTAAGCAGGCATTTTATGTAAATTTAGAAACATGTGTATGCATGGATGTGTAAGTATTGCTAGAAAGGTTGATTTTTTAAAGCTATTAAAGGCAACTGGGTACAGATTTCCATCTCAAGGTTAAGTGGTTAAATAAGGCAAGAGAGGGAGAGAAAAGCTTAGGGTTGACTGTGGCTTGAAGGCAACCATGGATTTTCTGGTGTCAGTAAAGTTAGCTAGAGATGGAACTGAAATAAGGCCATGAGAACAGCTCTCATAAATTCAGGTACAGGTTGCATAGAGTTTATTTATAGGATGCTTTCTCAAACTAAGGCTCTGAACCTTTTGATGTTTGCCCATCGTTACTTTCAGGCCAATTAATGATGTGTATCCAGTCCCATTCTGGGGTAGGTAAAACAATAAAGCAAGCAAAGATAATTAGTCTCTGGAGCATGTAAACAAATAAAGTAAATCACTTGCAAATCACTTATTTCTGCTAACTTTTGTGGGGTTGCTGCAAAACTGAAAAAGAGCATTTATATTGCAAATCTGCATAATGCTGGAGCAGTGATGAAAATTCATAGCTTATACGATTCTGATTTTGAGAGGGCTTTGCAAAGATTAAGCATCTGATCCTGAGACATTACTGTCGGTTGTCAGATGCAAAAGAACATTTTTATAACTATTTCACAGAAGAGAAAATTGAAGTAGGGAGGTGGTTTTTTTGTTGTTTTTTTTTTTTTTTTTTAATAGATGAAGGTCTAAAAACCACTTTGTAAATAAACAAAAGTCACTACTTCAAGACTGTAAGGCTAAGATGAGCAGGGGAGTGTCTGTAGGATGTGTGACCTTCACCCACCTCATCAATGCCTGGCAAATTTCAGAGACCTGAATGGGAGCATTATGTGGCCTTAAAATCACAAATAACCCGAAGAGATCCTGTCTGTCAGTCCTTTTAATTTCCAGCACGGTAGTGATCAGCTGGTGACAATACAGCTTCACTCCTGGTCTTAAAGCACCTCCTGCACCTAATCATCATCCTCAGTCACCCCTCCTCAGTCGTGGGCTGGCTGAGGGAAGTGTGGCCACTCAGCAGCAGAACTCGATGCAGAGCACACTTTCCTTTCATCTCAGCCCTGGACTCAGTGCTCTGGGGTTTGGGTAAATGTGTATTTCACAGGAGCACACAGACTCTCAGTGCCGTGGCCCTGGGGCGTGGGGAGGCCAGGCCAGAGCAGGGTGAGCCCACTCTCTGGAACATGGGACACCACCAAAGCAGCTCCTGCTTCAAGTCTTGCAATAAGAGCCTTGCTTGCTCTCTGAGTACAAACATTGGGTTTTGTGTATTCAGTAAAACAGCAGAAACTGTGTTCTGAATAAAAGACTCCAGTTAGGGTTCAGATCCAGGCAAAATGACTTCTCATATGATAAAATCAGTCTTTGTCTTCTTTTTGTGGCATGAAAATGCAGAACATTTCTTTTAGTAAAGCGCAGGCATTCCTCTGTTGCTCTGTTCCTTTTTACTGTTTCCTTACACTTTCTTGTTCCGACTTCAAAACCAGATTCTGGAAAGAGATGCGTCTTAGAAAGAGACTCTCAATGTCTGAAATGTGTCCAGTATGCATTTAAGTTAAAGAATATTAAGCCATGTCCAAAAACAGAGTGTGTAAAAGGTAAGAATGCCTTCAGGCTTGATTTTTTAAAGATACGCATTTTTCTTGCTGTTGCAGATCTCGCCTTGCAGATTTCTTCACAAACTGCCAGCCTGAGTCACGCTCTGTTAGCAGCTGTCTGAAGGAGAACTATGCTGACTGCCTGCTCGCTTACTCGGGGCTCATTGGTAAGAGGGCAGGGAAGGGTGGGGGCTTGCTCATGAGAAAAAAAGCCCCAAACTGCATTTTGGAAGGCCTGTGTGAAATAAAAACTGGAATATAATTCTGTATGATATGGTGCTAGGCCAGTTTCTCCACCTGCGTGTTTCGCCTTACAGAGATTCTTGAGGTAAGCTTGTATGTTACAAGAAAATTAGGGATGGAAGATAAGGAGAGAAAGGTGCTTGAATTTGAAATATATGGCAAGATTAAAAGGCAAAGCTTATGAAGAGGGTTGAATGTAGAGGACAGAAGAGTAGGAAGTTAACAAGTGGAAGTGCAGCTTGGCTGGTATTGCAGCTGTCGCCACAAGTCTGGCTAAACACCTGAACCTGAGGTATGAAACAATAGATCAATCCAGCCTTTCATCAATTCCAGCTGCTGTTCTTTCCATGATATCCTTCTGTCCACTCTAAGTGTTTTCAGAGATGCCTGTCAGTGAGATGAGCTGAGACCAAATCTGAAATCCTCTTCCTTCCCCAATGTAGTTACTTTTGTTTGTTGTCACCTTCCTGAGTGTCAACAGGCACCAGGATGCCTTTATGGAAGCCAGATTCCACATGCCACACTCAGTATTTGATTCCTGAAAGAGAGAAATCATGTCAGGAAGCTGAATGTGTTGTAGAAATATCATAGTTGGGCAGTAAATAATAAGTGAATGTCAAAACTCTGAAACAAACAAATTTGAAAGGCCACCAGATAAGATGATTTTAAGCTTACAGCCTGCACCTGCTGCAGTGCAGCAATATCCCCTTCTGTTGGGCATGAAGGTGCCAGCTGAGGCCCTGAAGCTGATCCTGCTGTTAAATAAATGTCTCTGGAGATAAGATCAAAATGAAAATATTTCTAAAATAGGTTTGGTTTGCTGAAAAATGACTGAAAGCTATACTCAGTGGCTTATTGTTACCATTCTTATTACTCTAGCAGCTAACAAGTGAGGTAAGTCCATGTGGCAATGGGTAAAATGAGATGTGATGGCTTCAAAGGATATTCTTCTACCACTGAAGAGATTAAGACAGTATGCAAAGGGTATAACATCTGAACAGTTATGACAGACTGTCATTTGACTCTGAAACAGAGAATTGAATAGCCTTGAAATCTGATCCTGTCAATGAGATTAAGAAGTCTGGCTGCTGGCAAGGAGTAACTATTACTAACAGATACTTCTGGGTAAGAGCTGCCAAGTTCTTGCTGGACCTAGAGAATTCTGCTGGCAGTTTTGTTGGTTTTCATTTTTCAACTTGACCCCAAAGATGACCCAGTTCCTCTTGTGAGGTGTTCTTGTGTTACTGGGGATGACCATGCTGCAAAACGCTGTCACACATCAGAAATGTGGAATGGGTGCCTGAGGAGTTCAAATCAAAAGGAGATCTAGTTTTCAAAGGGAAAAATATACATTTTTCTTCCTTCATGCTAGCCCCTAGAGACATGCAAAAGAGGAACTGACTGGTGTTAGTTTATGCTTCTTAGTAGTAACTCTTTTAAATCAAGAAATTACCAAAACATTTAGTGTGCTGAAGCAGTAAATTCCTGCTTCTGATACCAATCTGATATGAAAATGGAGTAAGGCAGAAATCAGCAGTGTAATCTTTCAAATGTCTGTTTAACAGATATATAACACAAGGAGAAGAGTTAAACTGTGGGTAAGAGGCTGCTACAGATCCATTTGTTCATCAGAGCTTCAGGATCTCCATTTAATTAAGAGAAAATATTTTTCATTAAAAAAATATTATTTTGTTTAGCCATTTCATTAAATGTAGCAAAAATTACACCTCCGCAGAGTTTTTTCAGGAAAGTGAGGCTTCTCTATGGAAGATACAGTGGATGCAGTCTGTCTTCAAATACAGGGATCTAATGCCACTGGAATTAGTGGAATTCCACCTAAAATTTATGACTTTAAATGGAAATAGAGCCAGTCACAGGTTTTGTATGAGTTGCTTTATTGATAAAATGGAGAACAGTCTGTAAAGACTGCTTTAATGTTTGCATCAGGGTGTTATGTATATAATTTTAAAGATATGTCTGCTTTACAGGAATTTGGAAAACCTCAATTCATTGCTTTAGGCTCCTTATTGTCGTATAGGGATAAGCTTTTTTTATTGTTAATTAGCAGAAAAATTTAAAAAATAATTAATGTAAAAGGAGACTGTGGATAGCCACGTTTAAGTCAGTGCTTTGGTTACAGCCTGGCTAAGCCATCTGGACCTTCTGCACTCCCACCTGAATTAAGATTTGCTTTAAGTGCTGACTTCAAGATCTGCTTTAGCATTCACTTTCTGGTACAATTTCCCTTGTTTCGAGCAAAATCCATCCAAGTTCCCTGGTATTCCCAGGAATCCCATGAGAGTTTGTGTGAATAAGCTGGAGTTACTTTGGGCCAAAGAAACTTCAGCCCCGTGCCCCTTCTCAGAGGCTCAGCATCCATCTCCTTATTTATTCACCCTAATTTGAGCTCAACCTCTTGGCTGAATTCAGGCCAACTCTGCTTTTGTCTAAAATGTGGAAGTCTGGCTGCTGGCTTTTGAGACCATCCAGAGCCGTTTGATACCTAGAGCTCAGAAAACCAAGCATGTCCTATTTTACTGCCAGCCACCATGGTTCCTCTGATCCCTTAGTGTCCATCAGCAGAATTTCCAAGATGCCAGCTAGTGGAGATGGGGGGAAGGGAAAGGGACACACGTGGCAGGGAAGAAAGAAAATCCACCCCAGGAAACCGAGCATATAATCCGCTTGGGTTCACATCTGCCCCCGGCTGTAAATGACAGACTGATTTTCTACTAGCTGCTCTTTCAGCCACTCTGTTTTTGCTGGATGCACAGTTTGTGTGCTGTGTACACACTTTCCTTGTCCTGTCTTTCCTGTATTCATCAGCCTTAATTGTACCTTGGTATCTGTTACACTTTTAACCCTCGTCTTAACCCATTTTAATTACCTTATTACCTATTTGTGATAAGAAGGTCTTGCCTCAGTGACCTTTTTAATTTCCTCGGTACCTTTCTGGTTTTTTTAACCCTTTGCTAAGCATTTGCTAATTAGAACTTCTTTCCAGACTACTATTTTCTTTCCATTTGCAAAATCCCCTTGATTTTCGCTTTCTCACACTTCTTTTCTGATCGTGTTGCAAGGCTGAAATAGTGTTCTGAACCATCACATGGATGAGGGGGAGACATTTTAATGTGTTTTCTTTTAATTTAACATCATTCCTCTTCTTATTTATCTACTGTCCAGTTTTCATTAACAATGCAAATTATATTTGCCTATTTTACTAAATTCTCTTATCTCCATTTAATGAATTTTGAACCATGCTGTTTACTCATGTACTAATCTCATGTAGAATTTGAGCAATTATTAGTGCAACTATCTGTTAAAAGCTGCAGGAAACTAAAGGTATGGGATTATAGTCAGGGTTAAGAACATCCCAAAACAAGAGAAAAGATGCTTTTTGTGAATTTCACAATGGGACCACATTCATTTTCATTCATTACTGTCTTAGACCAGCCCTAGTGCCTGTTGTCCTTTGTCTCCCACGTCACATATGAGGCAGTTTGCATGTTGATTTGTTCATTTCCCAGCACTGTCTGGTGACTGAAAAGCTATTAGACATCACTCTGTGATTTGTGTTATTTCTAATGTTCCTTTTTTTAGCCTGATGTTTGATAGCCCTTTCCCGTCTGTTATTGCAGACTGTTGGACCCTGGACCTATGGACCAAATTTTCTCTCCTAGTGTACACTTTGGGTCTCTAACATTTGTCCTTCATCTATTCCATCTTCTTAATGACTGCTTTGATGTCAGTTTTGAGGAGATGTGATCACATTTCCTCACAATATATGACCTGTCCTAGAATTGCAAATTATCAAGTGAAGAACATATTCCCTGAAGCAGCTGGCAGCTGTTCAGGTCTGGAATACCTTCCCCTTTTTATTTAATTTTCCCCTTTTGGTCAGACAAATAAAATAAAGACTCAAACTTCTCAATCCTAGGAAAATTTTGGAATATCTGACCTGCTGGGTTAATGCATTCAATGAAACTACTGGCTTGAGCAAGTGCTCATCATACAGCAGTTTCCTGATCCAGATGAGTGATGAACAGTTGCTGTGCATCTTTCAGGACACAAAATGCCTGCTTAGGTTTCATTTCATTCTTGGTTGCCTTGAGCTGGCATATAAATGGGAGAATATTTACCCAAGAGTTTGTAGCAGAGTTAGAATGACTCTGTGGCAGGAAAGTTGTTGGCAGTGTTTAGGAAATAATCATTGTACTGAAGAAGTAATGAGACAGCAGGATTGATACTAATTTATTACCTGCAACAAACCTTCTGTACCTTGTCGTTCATGCTGGTTTTTGCTCTGTTCATCACCCTAACCCACTCTGCTGGCAGCTCCCTCATGAGCACCCTGGGGTTAGCACTGCTCCAAGATGTGGTAGGGCTCCCCTCAGCATGACCAGCATTCTCCTTCCTCATGCATTTCAGAAATGTTTTTTCAGTCTGGCTGCAAACCTGGGGAGGAAGCACAGGTCTGGTTTCAGCCATTTATTTGCAGTGAGAATTAAAATGAGAAAAAACACAAGTGAGGAAGGAAAATCAGATTTTTAAGTGCAGCTCTAAGAACACAGTCCACGTGTGTTTGATTTGGCAGCAAAGCCCTTTAAAGAAGTGCTCACTTTCTCCCAACCCATCCCTCCCTCTGCCACGGTTTTCTACCTGTCAGTTCTGCTGATGCAGCTCACTGTGGGAATCCTTTTTGGAGGGAAGAGATGTGTCTTCAGTGTGTGAGTTGTGTTACAGTCTCTAAAGTGATTGCATTCAAACCACAGAGGGTGTGAAATACAGACAGGGCTGGGTGTCAGAGGCTGAGAGGAGCCAGGAACTGTTAAATCTGCGGGTCAGAGCCCTGCTGTGGCTCTGTGTTGTGACTCCAGCCCCAAATGCACGACTTCCCAAGGGCTGCTTGCCATCTTAGGGTGGAAGGAATGTTTGAGAGCAAAGGTTGCTCACAGTGCTGTGCTTCACTCTGGTGACAGGCACCGTGATGACACCCAACTACATCGACTCCAGCAGCCTCAGCGTGGCCCCGTGGTGCGACTGCAGCAACAGTGGCAACGACATAGATGAATGCCTGAAATTTCTGAATTTCTTCCAGGACAACATATGCCTTAGTGAGTACAAAATTAGGTGTCTTCAAATGTGTTGTAGGGTGTTTTCTGGAATTCCTTTACTGCCTAAGTGTGTTGTGATGCATCGAAGCCATCACTTTGCCCTTTGTTGAGCGTGGTTCTGTTGTAGGTGTAAAAATTAAAAGAATGAGCAAACATGCCTGATACTGTGATTTATGGCCAAGGTAGCAAACATTAGAAGCTCTCAAGAAAAAAAAAATCCAAAATCCAAAGTTTTATGGTATTGAAATATGTTTACATCACAGGTCAAATTTGGAGCCTAACAGTCAGGCAGGATCTTTACCATGGAGTTGCAACACCTGAGGGTTTTCTGTATAATTGAAGAACTTCATATAAAAAAAGACATGTAGTTTAGGATATGAACGATTTGCTGTAAGTATAAATTAGATTGTGCTTGTAATTTACAGCCAATTTCATTTTTTTTAGGATATTTGATCTCAGATGCCCGGTTTTAACACAAGCCTGGATAGTAACTATTGTAAAGATTTTGTTAAATTATTGATTTTTTTTTTTCTGTCAGACTCACTTCCAAATTAGGGACTATTACAAATTTCAGAATGGCTCAGTGGAGTCAATTTTGGCAGGTTCTCTTTTCAAATTTCCTGTCTGCCTGGAGCAGCATAATTGGATGATGTGGAGTGTGCATCAGAGTTTTAATTTCAGATAAATGAGGAGACCAAAAGAGCTTGGCTTCCCTAGTCTAGCAGAGCAGAAGCTGAAAGGCTACGTGATTGTCCTCTGAAATTGCATTAGTGGGGCAAGCCCAGCAAGGGGAAGAGATTACTTCACCTGCAGGACAGTGTTGGCATAAGATCAAAAAGGCAGATATCCATACATAGCTTTGAAACTGAAAAGTTTTTAACCATCAGACTAAAGTTAAGAAATAGCACTTTCAGCAGGCGTTTTTAGGGTAAAGGTGGTTCTAAAAGTCATAGTTCATGAGTTTATGCCAAGAAGCAGACATCATTGCTTTTCTCAAAAACAGTAAATGAGCTCAGTGATCCAGACTGGCCCGTCCAACCCTACAGACTTGAGCTGATGGTAGTGCAGGGTTCAGTATTTTCATGGTCTGAAAATCCCCACTGGTAGCTTCTCAAGAGGCAGCATTGCAGTGAAACACGGAGTTCTGTGCACAAAAACCTGAGTTGCTCTGTGATAAACTATTTATTAAGCTTTGGAAGAATGAATCAATTACTCAAGATCATTTAACAAAAAAAAAAGAGAGAGAAAATAGTTCAAACTTTACGAGGGGTAGAATTTAACAATAAGCCATCAGACCTTCTTCAGGTCTAATGGCTGTTGCCATTTATATCCATTGCAATACCTCATTTTTTTATTCATTCGTGAATGTATTAATTTCTAGAGTGTTACAGGTTCCTTTTAGAACATAAAGACAGAGCGATTCCTTGTCCTTTCTTTTGCCATCAGTACAAAAGCATTAATGAAGACAAATCAAAGACATTGGAGGTTACTGTGAGACAAATTATGTCATCCTAGCTGCAGGATAATGTCTTCTTCAGGAAGAAATTAAAGGTGTTTCGAGACTTTATACAAAGTTTTGTCTGTCACATAGAAGAGGAATTTTTATGAATTTTTATTTTCATTAGTGAGCCTTCCACTGCCTGGAGAAATGTCATTAAAATACTTCCCACTTCTTTTACACAATACAAATCCTTCTTTTTCTATGGTAGGAAGAAACTAGGAATTTCTTGCTAGTCTTGCTAGTTTTTTAGTATATTTCCCCTTCAAAATTGAAGATAAACCCGATATTTGGGGCATTTTCAGCAATAGTCTAGTTGAAGTTGCTCATTGCAGGGGGTTGGACTAGAAGACCTTGAGAGGTTCCTTCAACCCAAACAGTTCTGTGATTCTGTCATAGAATCATAAAATATCTCAGGTTGGAAGAGGCTCCTAAGGGTCATCGAGTATGATTGTATGGAATAATTGAAGAAGAGTAATTGTAAAGGCCACTTGTTACTTTGAAAACTGGAAGGACTGCAGGTATTTCTGTGACCATTCTTGCAACAACAGTGGAAACAAAGAGTTACTGTGATTTTAGGAAATCCTGCTTTTTATATTGCCTTATTCAGGGAAACACAAGAAAACTTATCATTTCCCTCTTCCCACTTTGTCTCCATTAATGCAGCTCATTCTGGTGCTTTTTCAAGTTCTCTTTGCATGTTGAAGTTCTGAGAACTAATATCAGAATAAAATACATCTTTTTTCAGAAGAAAATTACATGTAAATTATTTTATAAGGCAAGGAATGCCACTGAGAAGAAGTGTTAATAACTTCCACATATTAGTCCCCAGTGAAATTGTTTGATTTCTTGTACAAAGAATTTGAAATAAGAAATCCCCAAATCCTTGTTCAATCCCCAGAGACCTGATTAAGAACTGTTTTTCTATTTGTTTATAAAAAACTCCAACCAATTTACTCTTGCTATAAACACACTCTTTAATCCTGTGAAACTGTGATAAGCTTTTTAACTTTTATATTCCAAACTTTTAGTTTAACCATGTTTCCCTCACCCAATTATGCAGATTTTGATTGAAAATGGTAAGGAAAAGATTGCCTTAGTTAAACTATTTTGTAGTTATAGGCATATTAGTTTTACTACAACAAGCTGTAGAAATAAATGTTTATCCTGTTCTCTGTTTTTAGTTTGCTCTGTAACTTCACCTTCCTGAATTAGGAGATGACATTCAAACTGTATTTTAAATCTTGAAAGTAAATTTTTGAGTCTTTTGGATGGTAACAAATATGATTATGGTAAGTCCTAAAGCTTCTGTCAAGAATTACTGGAAACATTACAAAGAAGAGGCTGCACCAAATGATCATGTGACCCCAGATTTTCGGTTCATCTTTCTGATAGTTTTAAAATTGAGTTTCTTTAAATACGCATTTTAAATGTAATAATAATAATAATGGCAATAAAAAACAACTCAGTTCTGCTTTTTGCCTTTTTTTTTTAGAAATAGAAAATTGCCTGTAATTTATTTTCACAGAAAATGCAATTCAGGCCTTCGGAAATGGCACTGATGTGAACGTCTGGCAGCCAATTCTACCAGTACAGACCACTACAGCCACAACTACAACAGCTTCCAGACTTAAAAACATAGGGTCAGAGACCACCAACAATGAAATACCCTCCCACAATGATTCACCAGCATGTGCAAACCTGCAGGTAAGAAAGTTTTGTACTTCTTGTTGTGCATAAATGAAAGATTTTCACAGATACCTGTCCAGTGGTCTCTCACTGCCTAAATTAGAATATCTGTTTATTCCCATGCTGTGGTTAGAAACTGTGTGTGTTGTGAGCTATCAGACACTCACTTTAAATCAGAAACTTGCATATCTCAAAGTGGACTTTATTGCCTCACTGGCTCAGAAGGAGGGGATGGTATTTAATTTCTTATCGCAGGTTTGAATACGAATGTGGCACTTTCCAAATCCTGCCAGGATATGTCAGATTAAATTAATCCTTTGAGTACTCCTAATTCAGAGGGAACCCTTAATGTGAGCTAGCATATCCTGCTGCCTTCTTTCTCATGTTATTGGCATTAAACTCAAGAAGGTTTTTTGGCTGGGTAGGTCTGGGTGTTAGAGGATGTGTGGTGCTACGAGCTGCGTGTTGAGGAAGCTGGACACAGATAAAACTATTTTGAACCAGTCACTCTCCTGAGCTGAGGTCGAGGTCATGATGTAATTCTGGCCAATGGCTGTAGTGATTTTCTGTGACACTTAAATTAGGCTATTGATAGTGGATCATTGATTCTGGATTTAGAGGCTCCCCACTTGATGAAGACAGTTTTTGCAGCTCTTTGAAAGACTGAAGGACTTGGGCAGAAGACAATGGCAAAATCAAGGCAGGAAAAAGGTAGCAGGAAGTGTAAAATGAAAACATCCTTAGGCCAGATTAGAATCAGGCTATAAAAATTTCTGGTGGTTTAAATGCAAAATTAGGTCAGGCAGGGATAGATCAGCTTGTCCTGTTTATTTTTGTCTTTACAGAAGGAAAATTGCTATGTGACATAAATCTAAGTGTCCAAGCTTTAAGGTCTCAGCTGATATTAAGATAAATTTTTCTGGATTTCACTGTTAAAGCATTGATTTTTCACTTCCCTGTAAAAAAAATCATTTTGTTTTCTTAACATTAAATAGTTCCATATGCACTGAACCAGAAATATTTTATTTCTGAGAAATATGTTTTGCTTCTTGATTTTTCTTGCACCGCTCTCTCTCTCTCCTTCATCCTTTTCCAGTTCCTGCATTTATTTTGCATTGGAAAATTGTATCTGCATCAACATAAATAACATTACAGAGTCACAAAATATAGGGGGGTTAATGATAGATGGTGCTGAGTTTAGATACTTCTGTTTTAATTCTGTTTTTCACATCTGTGCATTCATTATTATTTGAGCTTTGTAAGTTATTGGTAAGAGAGAGAGTTGGAGGCATATATTGCTATTTGCAATAGTCATTTAACCAAATAGAACATGCTGAAAGAAACACAGCCTTTTAAACCTTGGAAACTTGGAATATCTTGAATTTAGAACAAGACCTTGATGGGATGTTATTGAGTCACTTCATGTCAGCCCCCTGTAGAGTAAGGCCTCCAGATGCTACCAAAGTACACATAATAAATAAAGAACTGAAGAAATGGCAAATGATCACAAATCCCATTGGATTCACTTCAATTTGCAAATGTTCCATAAGCCTGAATAGATGTTCCTGTGGTTTGGAAACTACTTAAATTCTTCCCCGTCCTTCCTTCTGTTACTCTGGCATTTTGAAGTCACATCCCACATGAGTTTTATCAGCTCTGGTTTAAAGCTCTGCTGTGACTTCAAGTGTACCCCCCGATGTACTTGGCACAAGAAGTAAAGGTCTGTAGGGAAAATAGGTTCCTTTACATAAATGATTTCTGCTGTTTGGTAGAAACTATTGTAGATAAAGTCTGCACTAAAAGGTCACCAAAGTTATGTGAACCAAGCAGTTTCATTCCTGTGAAGTACAATATTCTATGCCTACCACTTCCTTCTGTCAGAACTGAAGCACGAAGAACAAAGCTCTAATATTTTAATGCATTTTTCAAAAAGTAACTTACGAACAGAGCCAAAACAAGCCCACAGTTTTTTAAAAAGAAACCTATGTTTTTTGGACAGTATGGTGCCACTTTGCATGTGAGATTTAAACCCTAATGCAAATTTTATAAAAGAGCTGGTATTCATATTGCACTTGGAGAAGGGTATTCATTCCAAGCCTCTCCTCCCATGAAAATATGCCTTTGTAGTATTTTCAAAACATGAACTAGTGCAGCCAAAAGCTTTTTTATATGCTTAACAGCTGAGCTGAAAGGTTTCTAAAAGGCAATATAGCCTGAATGCTGTGAAAAGTCAAATTACAAGCATCAGTCTCAGCACAAAAAGACAATGGCAGAGAGGGGCTAAGGAAGTGGTCATTGAGATGCAACAGGGCTGCAGATTTTAGTTAGTGGGTTTAAAAATACTGCGAAGGAAGAAGGAGCAGGAAGTGATTGATTAGTATAAATTGCCATTGAAATAAATACAGCAAGGGAAGAAAGAGCAGGAAGTGATTGATTAGTATAATACAGCCACAGAAATGTGCAAATACCAACCTCCTGGGGCTGTAAAACATAGGGCACCAACCCAGTCTGCCAGGAGCACCACTGGCTGAGCAATTTCTGATACATTTCTTTCTGCCTTGTTCAGAATGGTCATATGAAGAGCAGGTTTTGTCTCTGTGCCATGTTCTCCTGCACAAGCAAACCTGGGAATTGGAAAGGTGGTGAATGCTTAAAGAAAATATGTGATACTCTTTGTTTACCTATACTCAGTATTTATTTCAAAAACATGTTGAATGAAGATTTGGACTTTAAAATAATGTTTATTTTAGTGATGCTGTTTAGAAGTTGTTCTTTATTTGAAGTTCTCATTGCTGTGAGAATCCTATTATGGGGTATTTTCTTATTTCAGATTGATTCAGCAGAATGTTTATTTCTGATATCTGCTTACTTTATGTTTACTTATGCACAGATTGTGTAAGGTACTCTTCTTTTTTCTGTCCCTCAATTAAATCAGCATTCTATCTTTGCCAGGAAGATGCTCAATTTTGTCAAGAATCCTCTAAACTCTTTTTACCAACCTGACTTCTAACAGAATTTGCTAAACACAGTTAATAGTACTTAGGTTTATACAAAATGCTAAATTTAAGTGTATTTGAAGTGTTTGACATCTTGCAAAGGATTCTCAGCACCACATAAAAATGGCATGAAATATTGTGCACAAAAAGGGAGATTAATCCCAACAGCATGTTCCTTATACAGGCAGATTTTATTAAGTAATTGCCAACCCTGTATTTTTTCCCTGGTAGCTTAACTCTAATGTTTTCTATTTAACTGACATACATGTTAATCCTTCATTTTCAGTCCTTACTTGCATTCAGTATGCCAGTCAAAAATGGTTCTGGTCTTCCAGTCTCATGTTCTGCCCCCACTGCCTGAACCATCATGTTGGATTATTTGAAAGGGACAAAAGAATGAGTTTGGATGTGTACTCACACCATATATTCTTCAAAAAAAGGCTGCCTTTGCATTTAGGAGAGATGGACAGACCTGAAAAATGATAATGAAATGAACCTCGAGTGATAGATTAGATCAGTTGTTCCTGGGCCATCACAGAGATAAATAAAAAACTGACTTTCACACTGGATTGTCTGTAATATCTTAAAGGATGTTTTGCAAAGAAACCAAAAATTGTGGAAGTCAAGATGGTTAAGGACATTTGAGTAAATTTATGCATCAAAGTCTTGCTAGCTAGCTCTATAGTTTGTTTTCCCATATTTATTATGTCTTGTTCTTGCTCTGGAGGTTCAGGATGCAAAGAGAAATTAAGGTTTTTGTGCTTTTGAAGAATGTAGCAATGGACAGATATAATTGAGATACATGGCCCTTGGGACTGAAGACAAGTCCAGTATTAAGTGTTGTGCTCGCAGCAGCAAAATTTAAAAACTATGAGGTAGAAATTGAAAATACCAAACATTTTGTGTGGAACACGGGAGAAGAGAAATCTGGATACTTAAATATGTCAATTATTTCTATTTGCATGTAAGATTAGTGAGTGTTTATAGCAGATGTGGGTCATAATTCAAGCTCCTCTTCCACAAATTCACGTAACACTTGTGATTTTAAAAAGTATTGGTGAATCCTAGGAGAGAAACAGGAGAGAGGGCTCACAGTACTCTGAGGAGAGCAGGAGTTAAACGTGACTCAGACTGAAAATGACTCTGCTTTTGCCACATAGATCTGTCTGTGCAGACCTTTAGCCCTGTGCAGGGAGCTGCTAAGCTGGTGGTTTAAGTACCCTCTGTAATTGCTTAATGTTGCTTCCCAGGTGCTAAATATCATTACTGGAAAGCATTATGTAGATGTTTGGAGAGGGCTGAAAGCTGCAGTGTAGCGTGCTGAGGATCAGGACACAGCAGGTGTGGATCTCCAGGGGCTGGTAATTGGGTGGTGGGTGAGCATAAGCAGGAAGCACAGGCAGTGTGTAGGTGAGGGAATGGCACAACTGCTGAGATGGATGTAGAGACAAAGCTTGTTTTATGCCCTGAGCACCAATATTAACTCAGCCATACACCTGGCACCCTCTTTCCCCCATCCCTTCACACGGCCCATGAACTTCTTCTTTTTGTGATAAACAACACTGATTTTTCAAATGTCCTGCCTGCTCCATCCCTTGGAAAAGTCCTGCTTGGACCTCTTCTTCTGGGCATTGCAACTACACAGAAAGATAGAGTCTGAGGAAAAAGATGGACAACAATATAAAACTCTCAATGTTGTACCAGAACCAAAAGAAAAGAGTTAAAAAAAAAAAATAAAAAAAAAAGCCTTAATGTTTTCTATGAAAAGATTTCAATCTACCTCCTGTACTTCCAGGATTATCTGACATAATGGGGTCAGCCTGCTGGTACAAGTGATTTAGAGACCACCTATTGGCAGCTTTTCTGCTAAAAAAGCAATGTCTTTAATTTGCTTTAGTGGCAATTCCCTTGTACCTAAAGAAGTCTTGAGTGCTTTGTGTATACAGATTAAGATCTGATGGCCAGGGCTAACTTAAAGTTTCCTCTTTAATCTTATACTTCTAATTTGGGGAGCACTGAAAT